GCGAGTCGTCTCTTCTCGGCGGGTGCTTCGGCCTCCTTCGTCCGCGCTCTAGAAGGATCGTGAAAGGTCTCTTTAGCCAGCGCACTCTGAAGAAAAATTATTTTCAAGTTTCCCTGACTGTTGAACGCTCCCTAGTGAAAAATACACCAGGTCGAGGGCTGGTGTGACTTGATGTTACACCAGACTTTTTCACAGATCTGATTTGGGACATTTTTTGGTGGGACACCAGAAATCTGGTGTTCCGGTGTGGCACCAGAAATCTGATGTGTGGGTATGACACCAGAAATCTCTTGTTCTGATGTTACACCAGAAGTCTGGTATTCTGGCGGGACATCAGGTTTTGTTGTAATGTGATACCAGACCTCCTGTTGACTGGGTGTTGCTTTACTCACAAAAAAGGGCACACTGATAAGTTTGACAACAACGCTGCTGCCATTATTACTTTAAGCAAAAAAGCACAACAGTAAAGCTTCGGAAGTTTTACTGTTGTAGGGAGTTTGCCGTGATCAACTGGAGTTTGTCTGGAGCCACTGCCCTGCGTCGAAGAACCGCACGCCCCGTCGTTCCGCAATTCTTGGCCTTTCAGCTTGCGGTTGACTAGTGTCTTAGTTACGTTGATCTGTTCCGCGTACCCCTCCGCACTAGAAATTTCCCCTTCTAATTCATCGTACTCGACAAATAGCTCGATTTCTTGTCCAGCTCTTTAAAGAAAGCCTCCTTAAGTAGAAGAATATCAAATGTTTCTTCGAGCTCACTGATGTCGGTTATCCGTGGCCAGCAGACGCCAATCTCGTTGGTGATCTTTGTTGTGGCGGCTCGCAGGGTAATCCTCTTTCGCTTTAGGCCGTCGACGCCCTCCTCGCTTGCAGTAGGCATGGTCCGGCCTTTCATTCCCGGTTTTCGGCCCCAAAAACAGTAATAATTACTAGCTTCCTTTGTTTCTTTGCTACCAAACCAAGCTCGTCGGAAGTAAGGAAAGCGCACCAACACATCTTTTCGGCTTCGACTCACAAAAAAGACTTCTTTACTTTCTCAAACTTAAACAAGAATACCGGCGGTAAGGGAAAGAGAAACCCTCGAAGAGGCGAGCGCCCCAAGCTGCTGAAGGCCGCCCGGGAAAATGCTGGGGGCGAGGGGAACACTTTTTGAGCACAAAGGAGCCCGCCGCGGGGTCTCCGATGACCACCAAGACGGGAGTAAACAAGGCACCTTGTCGGGGGACGGAGCGGCACACACACTAATAGAAAAAACGGGCACGGACGGGGGGAAAAGTTAACAAAAACCCAACTCTGGTGTCACATCAAACTGCGTGGTGTGCACACCAGGCTGCCTGGTCGGCACATGAGTCCTTGTGGTGTGGCACCAGACTCTCTTGGTGTACCCATCAGGCTGATGTACAGGAACACAAGCATTTTGGGTGGGCACACCAGGCTGGTGTGCTCGATATATCAGCATCGCTGGTGGGCACACCAGATATTCTGGTGTGCCCACCAGAATATTTGTTGTGCTCGATACATCAGCATCGCTGGTGGGCACACCAGATATTCTGGTGTCACACCGAAATCGCCTGGTGTATTTTTTATTAGGGCTACATGGTAGATACACATACATCACTGAACACACAAAATACACAGAACACAAGCAGAACGAATCCCCACACAACATCAGCAACGCAGCCGACCTTTTTACGTACGCTAAGTTCGCACTACCTCAATATATGGCAGTCTTAATTTTGAATACGACTTTGCCGGTGACTGCCATCATTTGTCGCATAAACACGGAGAGGCGGAGCAAATATTACTCGTACTTCATACATTATTTGAATTGTACCTTTGAATAGCCCCCTCTCTTAATTTAGCACCCTGAAAAAAAGCAAATCTAGATCATTAGGATAATCAACTAAAATTGAATAATTATATTTTTAATAAGTTTATGAATGACGTTGACAATGAAGTCATGAAATGCCGTACATTGGTGCTGAAGATCGCAATCAATCTATAGCTTGAGTGCAGTGTTCGGTGCCAGTGTAGTCGATTTTCTCTTTGGGGCCCCTAGTGAAAAATACACCAGCTCGAGAGCTGGTGTGACTTGATGTTACACCAGATTTTTTCACAGATGTGATTTAGAACATTTTCTGGTGTGACACCAGAAATCTGGTGTTCTGGTGTGACACCAGAAATCTGATGTATGGGTATGACACCAGAAATCTGGTGTTCTGGCGGGACATCAGGTTTTGTAATGTGATACCAGACCACCTGCTGACTGGGTGTTGCTTTACTCACAAAAAAGGGTACAATGATAAGTTTGACAACAACGCTGCTGCCATAATTACTTTATTCAAAAAAGCAAAAAAGCACAACAGTAAAGCTTCGGAAGCTTTACTGTTGTAGGGAGTTGGCCGTGATCAACTAGAGTTTGTCCGGAGCCACTGCCCCGCGTCGAAGAACCGGACGCCCTGTCGTTCCGCAATTTTTGGCCTTTCAGCTTGCGGTTGACTCGTGTCTTAGCCCTACTGAAAAATACACCAGGCCGAGAGCTGGTGTGACTTGATGTGACACCAGACTTTTTCACGGATGTGATTTGGGACGTTTTCTGGTGTTCTGATGTGACACCAGAAATCTGGTGTGCTGCTGTGACATCAGAAATCTGGTGTGACACCAGCAGTCTGGTGTGCTGGTGTGACACCAGAAATCTGGTGTGACATCAGGCGGTGGTGCTTTGGTGTGACAGCCTCTAGTGTGACATCAGGCTTTGTTGTGGTGATACCAGAGCACCTGTTTACTAAGTTTACTAACTGTTGCTTTACTCAGAAAAAAGGGTACAAAGATAAGTTTAACAATGTTGCTGTCATAACTACTTTATTGAAGCATAATTTTGGAGGGAAAAAAATGTCATCTAATTATATAAAAAAAATGAAGGGCATGGCCAGTGACGTGGTGACGTTTGGGGCTCTTCCTCAATCCAGCCTAAAAGGAAAAGATCAAGTGTCGTTTCAGCTCTTACAGCCCTTGGTGAAACATGCAGCGACGATAAATAGATTTTCATCTATACTCACGTTTCTTCTACACCCCCACCTCTTTCTCGCCGACGCAGCTCACTAACTTTTTCTGAAAGGTAGCGCGGATGTTCTTCGCCCTTCCGGCAATGACCCCCTCGTGGGCTGTGGTCTGTCTTGCGTAGTGTTCGAAGAAACCTGCAACATAAGAAGCATAGGTTTAAACAGTGTGCTAAGCACCAATTCAACAGATAATGCCAATATTGTTTCACCACATGAACCACGATAATGTGGATTAAGTTTTCAAGCAAAGTGAAATGAAAACAGTTGCTTATCAACAACAATGGAAAAAGCAACAGTGAAGCATTCATGCTCAAGATAGCTATAAATTAATTAGTAGCTCATGCAGATCTGCACGCCAAGCACAGTAATGAAGGCTATACCCCCTTTCAAGAGCACATCTGCCCTTTAAAATATCAAGCGAACCTATAGTCTGTAGCTGGTCAAGAATAGCAGGAGAAGTCTCTCTCCAGATTAGTGGAGCCGACACTGGAGAAAACAAAACCACAAATCTTGGCAAGGAGGGGTGGTTTCCTCCTCTCCACCCTCCTGCTATTCTTAACCTGCAACAGACTACAGCAACCAAATTTAGAAATATTAGAATGCTGTTAAAAACAATATAACAGATTGCTTATCGGGCTTTTTCCCAAGTTCTCAAATTCCCCTACTTTTCCAGATTTTCCCGCACTATTTCGATTGAACTCGCTGGCCGTTACAGAAGGGTGACAGCAATCTGGCAATTGTGCTGAGGTATTGAAATTGCTTTCCAAGTTGCTCAAGAACTTCCTTGAGCATGTCATATACTGAGCACCGTTCAAGCTGTCCGGCACAGGTATAACCGAGCTTGTGCTTTAGAAGATGCCAGGTAGGCTCAGTTCCCATTAAAAGGCTTCTTCGACAGCGATATCACAATAATAATATTGATGGAAATAAGAATAACAACATTATTAATAATTTCATTTTTGAAATAAATGGAGGGGCATAAGGGAAAAAGCCTCCAGTGGAGACTTGACTAACATATTTTCACTCTGAAGACACAATACAGAAAAAGAAGGTCTAAAGCAACTATGTGTGTGAAGCACAGGTCACACATAGACTGAAGTGTCCACCGACAAGGTCCGACAAACCAGGAGCCAGAAGATCGTTCTATTCATCGTCCCTGCAAGAGGCTGGAGACACGTGGTGCTTCCCGTCTGTTTAATAGTAGGTTGCGACGTCTTGCGATGCTTTGAGTAATGTGACGATCAGTGCGTTCTGACACACTGTCATGATGCTTTAATTTGCGAATTTCCCTGGCTTGGCCAACATAAGGGTTTCATTGATATTACTTTCATTTTACAGATTCTTAAAATTCCCTGACACTCTTAGGTTTTCCCTGTCGGTAGAACCCCGTTACTTTACCTTTAAAACGCCACAAGCAAATTATACGAGTCAAATAACTTTTAGAAAGCAAACAAACCCAACTATTTCAAAATTAGATAGACAGGACAATCTTTCAGCTTCAACAACACTTATTTTTGGCTTCAAGCTCAAAGCCCGCCGTACGGAAAAGGGAAATCTTGGGGGAAGGAAAGGAACGGGAGGAGGTTGCCAAACGAGGAAGGGAGAGGGGCTCGACTATAGGTGCGGGATAACGGAATGAAAGGAAAGACCGCTTCTGCCGGGGACCTTGTCGCCTTGCCTACTCTGTCAGCGTTCGGCTTCCATTGTGGACCTCAGAAAGGTAATCGCCTTTCTTGAGAGCGAAATGGAAGGGCTGCTTATGGTCTGCGGGCTTGCGGCCATTCGATAGGCCTCAATTATTTCGCTCTCGACTCGCTCGCAGTGGCCTCCCATGGTTGTCGTGCCGGCGAAATTAGGAGCGCAGCCGGGACATTTTCTCCCGTGAATGGCGATCAGGTGCTGGGAATCCGAAGCAGCTCCTTTCGGCGTCCATTTGATGTTCTCGGAGTTGGTCGTTGAGGCATCGCCCCGTTTGCCCGATGTACCTAGCCCCGCGGGACAGGGGGATCACGTACACTTTCTTTGTCATGCAAACGGTGAACTTCCTTGCATAGTTTTTGGTACAGGTGGGTTGTGGGGGTCCCTCTCTGTTGACGGCCCTACACGTGTCGCCGAGTCTCGATTTGTACGTGAAAAGCACATTTGTGTCGTATTTTGAGGCGAGAGCTCTTAGGCGGCGAGATGTTGTGTGGATGTATGGAATACAGGCTGGTCTTCTGGCGACGAGTGAAGTCTCGGCGGTTGGCCTGGACTGGGGGTTTGTAGGCAATTTTTGTGAGGTAGCCAAAATCAAATCTGCAGGGTAGCCTGCCCTCCGAAGCCGTGAGCACTGTTGGCTTAGGCTGGCCTCCCGTTGGTGGGCGCAGGACTTTGTGTATGCCGCACTATGCCGGATTTTACGTTTTTTGAGTGTGCGCTTGAGAATGGAAGCACCGCCTTGGTTGTACACTGTTGGAAACTGTTGGCTTAGGCCAGCCTAAGCCAACAGTGCTCACGGCTTCGGAGGGCAGGCTACCCTGCAGATTTGATTTTGGCTACCTCACAAAAATTGCCTACAAACCCCCGGTCCAAGCCAACCGCCGAGACTTCACCCGTCGCCAGAAGACCAGCCTGTAGTCCATACATCCACACAACATCTCGCCGCCTAAGAGCTCTCGCCTCAAAATACGACACAAAAGTGCTTTTCACGTGCAAATCGAGACTCGGCGACATGTGTAGGGCCGTCAACAGAGAGGGACCCCCACAACCCACCTGTACCAAAAAATATGCAAGGAAGTTCACCGTTTGCATGACGGAGAAAGTGTACGCGATCCCCCTGTCCTGCGGGGCTAGGTACATAGGGCAAACGGAGCGATGCCTCAACGACCAACTCCGAGAACATCAAATGGACGCCGAAAGGAGCTGCTTCGGATTTCCAGCACCCGATCGCCATTCACGGGAGAAAATGTCCCGGCTGCGCTCTTAATTTCGCCGGCACGACAACCATGGGAGGCCACTGCCAGCGAGTCGGGAGCGAAATAATTGAGGCCTATCGGATGGCGACAAGCCCGCAGACCATAAGCAGCCCCTCCATTTCGCTCTCAAGAAAGGAGATTATCTTTCTGAGGCCCACAATGGAAGCCGAACGCTGACAGAGTAGGCAAGGCAACAAGGTCACCGGCAGAAGCGGTCTTTCCTTTCATTCCGTTATCCCGCACCTACAGTCGAGCCCCTCTCCCTTCCTCGTTTGGCAACCTCCTCACTTCCTCTCCTTCCTCCACGATTTCCCTTTCCCATACTCCCACGGTGCGGGCAAGCTTTAAGCTTGAAGCCGAAAATAAATGTTGAAGTTGAAAGATTGTCCTGTCTGCATCGTCCCTTATGTGTCTCCACTTTCTAAGTGGTTAAAAAGCACCAACACGCTCAAATAATACAAGTGTACACTAAATAGGTTGGCAGAAAGCAGTGGCATGACGTTTCAAGCAAAAAGCTTTCACAAACATATTGACTTAAACTCTATTAACGTGTTTAAGTCAATATGATCCAAAACTAAGAAAAGTAATACGTGCAGTTTTTAAAGTCCTTTTGTGCTTTATATGCTGCTAGACAAGGTAAAGGCGATGACCCCCGTAAATCTGAGGAAACCTTTTCAGCAGCTGACGTCAGCTGTCACCCCTCTACCGCCTGCCATGCTCATCGTACCTGCTGCACTTGTCATACATGCATAAATATGTAGCATGGGGCAGTCCTTGCAATCGCTTCGGTCAATTTAAACAAAGATGTGTGGACCGGCCATAACGTTTTCTTCTGGGACACCATTTATGGTGCTCAATACGAAAAGAGCTTGCCGAGCGAATGGTCTTGTGCCCCCACAGCTGAATCTGGCGCTCCAAGTCGCACATATGCACAGATCAGCCAGGCATGCAATGGCTGCTTGCGGTACGTGCATAGCCCACAAATGATTACTGCAGATTATGACCCTGCAGAATGACTGCATTTATCTTAGTCACAACATAACATTTCTTTTATGGGCAAGATGTCTACCAAATAATTAATCTCCAATTCTCCGATTTTTCAAGATCTGGCAGCTGCTGCCAATCATAGAGTACATGAAGACCATCCACAATTTAAAAGAATTTGTTGCAATTGTTCTCTCATGTTGCTGAAAAACAAATTAGTTGAGCAATATACCAGAATTATTCTAACAATTTTGAGTCGAACTAATACAGGGTTGGCCAAAATGAGTGCTCAAAAGCCACAAACTAGTAAATTTTTAAAAAGACAGATGGGGGATATAAGGGAGGGGGTGTAATGGCTGTTTATGAGACTACCCTTTTATTTATGCCAAGACATAACTTATAATTTGGCTAGTACAGTTCAGACCGTTTTTTCGGACACCGCTATTTCGAACATGTCCACTTAATCGGACGTCTTCGCTGAACCGTCCCATGAAGTTTGCTGAACCATCAGTTATACATTAGCCATAGAGTTAATGTATTACATTGACCGAAATTTAGGACACAATAAAGCTCGTTGCTTGATATTTCGGACATAATTTGCGTGATTTCCTCCGTCTACAGTCATTTAACAGCCACCACAATAATGCCGTGAGCGTAATCACCGTCACTTTAGTTGTTCTGGTTTTCACTTGTAGCCTCGATACCACATACTACGCAGTAAAGAAGCTGAATTGAGGTTACAGTCGGGCTTCCCAGTTCAGCTATAGCCAACATGGCTGCTGTTTGTTCTAATGTTGCGTTTTTCAATGCAACCACAAGAAAATCAGCCGTCTGCCGTTCTTGTGCTGTATGAGTGAGTGCTTGAGTTGAGTTTTCTGTCCAATGGTAGTGAAGTAAGCTCGGTGGGCTAAACATTGTCTCCAAACAGTGCCAAATGACACCAACTTCATATTTGCTGTGTGCACCATCGAAGGTGCAACCAAAGCACACCACCGTGATCAACCATATCAACAAACATGTGAGAAGTGACCAACATACAAAGTTGCACGAGAATTTAATATTGACATGAAGCAAGTGGCCAGTGCGAAGCGAAGTGGCAGGCATTTGATATCGTGGCTGAAATCTTTTTTTTCGGACTGCTTGATTATTTTGACAACTTGGGGTCCCTACGAGTCCGAAAAATCGGTCGGCGACTGTATAGAAATTATGGTTTCAAGACCTAATCTGCTTCTCTGTTCGAGTCTTGTCATCCTAATGTCTTCATTAAACAGAGAAAGTAGGTGAGACATGCCACTGGATAGGGCTTAGCAGTTTTTCATTTGCATGTGTGCATAGAGCAGTGGTCTCACTATCTTATAAGGCAGGTGCATGGCATTGTATGAACAAGGTTCAGCTAGCTTAGACACCAATTTTGGGTAAAATTTTTTGCACAAAACTAATGCTGCCTCAACCTAGCCCGCGAGGAGGCGCCAAAAAGGTAGCATATTTTAACACGGAGCTTACCCTTCTACCTGATTTGCCCCTTGTGACCATTATATGTTACTATAAAATGCCCCAAAAACTATGACTTTAAACCAAGCAATTTTATATGTCACGTTTTACATTTTTTGCCTGTTTCTGATTATAATGCTGTTATGAAAAAACTTGATGTTTGGCCCCAACTATTTGAGCTTGAGGGTCCTTGGATCACAAGAGCCACAATTCGGGGCATGCGGCTTGCGAGCCACGGTCCGCTCACCCCATGGCCTAATCCAACTTGCATTTTCAGAAATGTCTAGGTTGGCCCAGTCTCTATTAACCCTTTAACTGCTAGGTTTTATTTTGCAGGCGTTGGACAGTCTGGGCTTGCAAATTAACAAAGTTGTCTAAATAAAGTTTACACAAGCTGTTAGCCGGTGACATCACAAGGCAAAAATCTGTTTTTGTTGATTTTTCATTAACATTGCCACACAAAAATCTTGGCAGCCTGAGTTTAACCGTTGAGTGGTGGGAAGTTGCATAGGAGTGTGCCTGGGTGTACTCGTACACACTACTCGGGCACACTTCCAAACATACCGTACATCTGGTATGTTTGGCCAACAGCAGAAGGCATGAGCGAGGAATCAACAGAAGCCGACTACTTCCTGCTATGAAGTAATCCTGAATGGCACAATAAAGAAATAATAGACCTGGCAAAATTAACAGCGACTTACTACGTATGGCTTTCACTTTCTGGGGCGTCATCGGGGCTTGCGGCGACAGGTTGGGGTTCGCAGCGATGCTCCTGTTTGAAAGGGTCCCAGTTACGCTGCGGCGAATGAGGACCTCCGACGACCATATAGCCACTGCCGCCTTCTTAACAAATAAAGCGTCCCTTTCTGCACCCAGCAAGGTCTCGAAGGTGTCCTTGTGCAGCCAAACATTTTCGCCACAGTGCATCTGTACAAAACATGACAAAAATTACATTTTATAAAGAAGCAGGAATAGTGGCTCTTCTCAAGTAACAGAAACATTTCAAGAGCGATAAAATAAAACCTCTTCAGTGGGCCTCTTCCAAGGCAATTGATAATCCAGAAGGAGCACAAAAGCAATGCTCTGCAGCACACAATGGAGACTAGAAATTATGGTTGGCTCCTGTGGCATCTGAGAAAGGAGGAAAAGGAAAAAATTGGAAGTGAGAACTCATTGTCATCCTTTTAGGAATAATCATTGTTTTATACTTCCCATCTCTCCCTGCTCCCCCTTTCTATAGTGCCACGGGCAGTTCCGCAAACCTCAGAAATCTCCATTGTGCCACCAAAGGAATCCACTTGCTGGTATTTATCTTATCTTCCAAGAAGAAAAAAAAACGTTTCCAAAACCAACTTTTTTAGTGGTAACCAACTTACAGGCTCTAAACATCTTACAAATCATAAAATTACAACCATATGCATCTCTTTCCGCATTAAAATTGTGGCCAAACACTCTGGCATGCCACCTTTTTTGCTGCAGATCGCAGAACTCGAACCCCGCCGAACGATGAACGAACGAGCGGTAGTTTCCCGCGTAAACTGATCCGCACGTGGGTTTTTTTGCAAAAATTTTAGTTACCTTTACAGTGGATGCTTAGGCTGGGCTAGAGTCACTGTATGGGTTCCCAGAGTAACGCATTCCTTTTGTTTTCGCGTTTTGCCGACAAAATACTCACTCTAGCTGATCATGTTTTGGCATGGTGAGCATCAATGGACGGTAGTAATCACGTGACACAAGCACTGCTAGACTCCCCTCCACAAGCACTTCAAGTGGCTCTAATCGCCACCCTTGGGTCCTGCAAACACCTGCACACACGCACGCTCTGCTGCTCATCGAACGCATGTTCACGCACAGTTTTTGTTGTGTACTTAGTGGCACAATGCCTGCTTGTTGCGCTTTTGGGTGCAGCAGCAGGTCGAAGGATGGAAAGACGACTCTTCCGGATCCCGTTTGGAAAGAACAAAACTGCAAGCCGGAGGAAGAAGGCTTGGCTGGCCATAGTAAAACGGAAAGATTTCGAGCCCACTGCAACAAGCAAGCTTTGTGAGGTAAGTCCCGATTACAGGTGATTCATTCTGCATGTCGCGGAATGAACCAGCTCTTTCAACACGCTCCAATGCATATCACTATTGCCTTCATACACCCGTCGACACGTGGACCCAAGATGGTGGCGCCATGGTTTCGGTTTCAGCTGCGGTTCTAGAACGAACCTTCGGAGTTTCGTTACTCTGGGAACCCATACAGTGACTCTAAGCTGGGCTGTCGTAGCTACCTAATCTCTCATTGTTGAGTCAAAGATACCTACGAAACGTAATAGCGTTCCACAGGTGATAAGGAATCGCAAACTGGATCCACAGAAAAATAAAAAATTTGAAATAGCAAACTGGATACATGAGATAATGGAAAAAAAAAAGTCCCCGCAGGTATCGCAAGCGCACACACCAAGATGCAGACGGGCAGACACATCACTCCCGCGGAGGAAGGCGAGAAGAAAACATAGTTTAGATGTACTTTCATAGTCCCAAGCTTAAAGGGGCACTCTAAAGCTTTCTGATATGGCCAATTTATGACAATATCACAATCTATGTGCTCCAACCATCCCAAAAACACAACAGTTATAATCATGTGCACTTTTTCACTATTAGAAATCTGATGAAAGATTGCGAATCTTAGATGTACAGCTGGTGCCATTGAACCCAGCAGGACCTGGTCGAACGATGGATAAGCTCGTAAGCCAATCGTGAGCAATGGCCTCCCGTGCGGACAAACAACCGACCAGTTCTGCTCGTCCGCACAAAAAGCCATCGCTTACGATTGATTGCCTGACAAGCACCATTCGTCGTTCGACCAGATTCAGCAGGGTTCAGTGTGCATACCTGCCAACCTAGCAACATAAAAATTCGGGAGACCGCCGCGCGGGGGGGGGGGGGGGGGGTGTTGAAACATTTTTGTTTTTTTTTAGTTTGACAAGAAATTTCATGAAGAGGCACTCTGTGCGAATCACTGTCTTCGCAGTTGTTTTGGAGTAAACTGCCGGTAATGCCCTGCCCTTCTACAGCACGAGCATGGTTCTGATGCTTTCGTGAAGTGATGTGTATCTTGATGTGTCAAGCTTGCCGCCGTGCGAAACGCTCCCACATCACAGGCGCACAAGGCACAGAATTCATACTTGTCAGCTTTTTGCGAAGCGACAAAGCACGGAAACTCAGTCGCGTATGATCTTAGAAATACTTGCAAGTACTTCTTCTAGCCTTTTGAAAGTGCCATCAATCGTTCCAACAGATCAGTGGTTCCAACTGAACTCGGGGAAACATAAAGAGTAGTTCGGCGTTCCGCACCTCACTCGACGACCTGACAAAGCCAACTGAAGCCTAGCGCACTCATGATCATATAAGCCGTGTTCCAAAATGCGCTCTAACTTCAGGAGTAGAGGTTTCGTACCTTGGCGTTTGAAAATCTACCCTCGTTTTATGCTACTGCTCTGAGTTGTCACGTGGTAACCCGCCGGAGTAACCTAAAAACCTACTCTCGAGTAACTCGCAATGACACACGCGTGATGATTATAGCAATAAGGCATCATAAAAAAAAAATTACGGTGGACATTTTTTGGGAGATCTGAGGTCGCGTCCGTACAATCGGGAGATGTGATCAAAATTCGGGAGGCTCCCTGAAAATTCGGGAGAGTTGGCAGGTATGAATGTGCCATCCGTAAGCCTTCAATCCGCTATATTTCATCAAATGTTTCGTAGTGAAATAGGCTGCCCATGATTGTAATATTTGGATTTTAGAGTACTTAGCGCACACGGATCAAGTTACAGGCTATGTCGGGGGTCAACAACCTTTTCCTGCAACAGGCCGAGTTGCCACAAGTTGGACAAAGAGCGGGATGGACATGGAGAGGCCCTTTCTCCAACTTGGCCTGGTGATGCAGTAAGCAACTACTAGAGAAAAAGACACCGTCAAACTAGTATGATGCTCTACCGTCCTAGGCTTTTGGCTGTTGGTAGGCATCACAAGTAAATAAATAAATAAATAAATAAATAACAAACAGATGGTTTCTTCTTTTAAATACCCTATAGTGTGAGGTTTGGTGCTAGATACTGGAAAATACATGCACATAAATTAAAGTTGCTAATGTAATCTGACAAGTTGTTATTGGGAGGAGCTAATTATACGAACCTGCTGTTGTATCTATGGGTTGCACTGACGTCACATTGCATACTTTTGACCACCATGTAAGAGGAGGAGAGGGAAGCTGCTTTTGTAATAATTTTGAGTGAAGGGTTAATCTTCTGGGAGGAGAATAGCGACGCCTGTGCAAATCCGGGAGGCACAAAAGAGGGTCCTGATAAGAGGAGAGCTCTTTCTTGCCCTATTCTCTGGTGGTCAGCTGAGCACTCTTTGATGGACGTCACATGCAACCGATGTATAAGCTTTACAAGGTGTCGGAGGTCAAAATTGTTGCATGGTCCCAGAACATTGCATGCATGAGGAAGGATGGGAGAAGAAAGAGGAAGGGGGCATACCTAAAATTGTGCCGTGTGCCAGATGAAACTGCCTAGCGGACCAGACCCGGACTGCTGACCCCTGCTCTACTCTTTATGACAACAAAAGGTGGCACCTCATTGCAGCATACTGCAAATTACATGACCGGCGGTAGCCGTCATCTCATAGACAAAGGAGGGGGGGGGGAAGGTGCATGGTCGAGAGGGAAAAGGAGCAAAGAGGTAGATATAGGAAGGGAGGATCAGGTCAAGTATAAAGATCGAAGGCCAAAAACACATGATTGTGCAAGGGAGGGAGCAGGAAGGGCAAAAGGGTAGTAAAAGAGAGGGGACTGAGGATGAGGTGACCCGGGGAGCGTGAAGGAAGAGGAAGATAGAGGGGAGATGAGCGGGGAGGGGCAAGTAGGTAGAGAAGATGGAAAAATGAGGGGACAGAGGGAAGAGCAGACAGACAGAAGAGGTGAGCGAGGTGAGTGGGAAACAATGAAGGAGTGGAAAGGGGAATGGGGTGAGGAGGGGTGTCCAAGGATCCCAGGTTGAGATCAAAGGTCAAAGGCTCTGAACACAGAACCGCATGAGAGATAGAGGAGGGAAAGATGGGAAGGGGAGCCAGGGGGCTAAAGGCCACAAACATGCAATCATACGAGGAAACGAGGAGAGGAAGAGAAGAAAGGGGCACGGAGGGGGGATGGGACAGGGATAGGGTGAAATGAAAGGCGACTGAGATGGTGAGGACGTCAAGCACAAAAAATAAAAGGCCAACGTTAATATGGAGTGACGGTCACACGGTCACACTGCGTTGACCACTAAAAATGAAGAGCCATGTACGGCTATTGCCGTAAAATAAGTGCCTTCGGAAACCTCTTTTGTGATCTATTCAACAGTAGTGTGAGTTACTTGGGAAGTGACTGGTGCAATTGCATGGCTTTTTGAAGACACTGTGGTTTGCTTGGGCATTCACACAGCATAAGCACTGCTTAGACCTGTACACATAGTATGCATACATACCCTGAGATGACCAGCTGATGCCCTCCTTACTCAGCCTATGTGTCATAACAAATTCTGTCCCAGTGTTAGTGTCCTCACAAAAGAAGACGATTGACCCCAAGCTCGTGCCACCACACCCGTGGCGCACCGTTTTTTTTTTTGCTGGGCAGGCGAATTTGCCAGACATATGTTAAACGTCCCTTTTTAACCTTCACTGGTCCTGGTTTCCCATGTTGAGGCTCTAACACCTGGAACATTCCTGCACTTTATGAATTAAATTTTATCTGCAGTCTAGGCTGCTTTCTTTTGGCTAAGCTTTTACAGTATATTGGAGTACCGAGGAGTGCATATATTAGTCTACCTGCACTAAATGAGAGGTCTTATCCTTTGGCTCTCTTGCCCTGTCCGGTAGTACAAATTCTTGCCATTGTGCCTGAAGACTGATGTGATACAAAGAATACGCTAGAAGGATCATCTAATTTATTTTGCTGGCTCACCATTCCATCTGACCTTTCATGGCCCACAGGAAGTGAGTTGGCCATGGCACAAGGCTCAGCTGCCCGTGAAGCTGCATTGGCAACAGGCAGGACAGGAGCGGGGGGGTTAGCAGTGGCCAGGACGAGAGCAGGAGGGTTTGGAGCAGGCAGCTCATGGGGACGGGGGCCAGCAGCACGGGGACCAGCAGCACGGGGGCCAGCAGCAGAGGGGCCAGCAGCAGAGGGGCCAGCAGCAGGGGGGCCAGCAGCAGGGGGGCCAGCAGCATTGGGGCCAGCAGCAGGGGGGCCAGCAGCAGGCAGGGCAGCAAGCATGCCTATGGTTGGTACCTCAACAACCCGTCGCACTGAAGGTGGCAAAGCATGGGGTTGTGAGGCAGGCAGTCCCCTGGCAGGCTGCAGGGCAGGGGCAGGGAGCTGTGCAGCTGGCCGGACAACCTCAGGTGCCATCACAATTCTGTGATCATGGCCACCTACCAACACCTGGTCCTCTTCACTTCCATAAAAACCTGTACAACCAAAGATATTCCATGTGGTGCACCACAGCTGCTGTAGCTGCAATGTAACTGAGTTGCCAAGAACAGCTTTTTCTTGCCTAGATAAAATTAAAATACTGTATTCTTTTTGCATACCATAGCATCTATATCGTCAGAGCTCGAAACACTGCTTTCCAGAAAATGGTCATTTTTAACCGATTGGGGATGCTATCTGTATTTTGCAAGCGTTCCAAGATTAGTAAAAGGTAGACGCAAACTAGTTAAAGCGTGCTGACACTTTTGAGTGCAACCATGCAAGATATTCAAGCATTCTTCCATCAGCGTCCCTTGCATGCCTTGCACAATAGGCTTCATTCCAAAAATATTCATCTGTTCCTCTTACATTTCCAGTAACTGCGCTGTTAGGAGGAGGGGAAATTCAGTTTCTTATTAATTTAGTGCTATGTCACGACAATGTGCAGCAGCTTTTCCACATGGTATAATCAGCTGACCAGCAGATGATTGACAGTAGTTTCCCATCATCTCACATGCTACAGCAATAGCAATGCGCGAGCTCAAAACTGTGTTGCCACAGGGCGAGGGACCACACAACCTAAAACAACAGTGGCTAAAGATGCAAAAGCTATCGCAAGCTGATAGTGCTTTAGCAAGCACTATCGGTAAGTGAAAATGCTGGTTCATTGATTTATATAAAGACTTATTATTGTAAGTCAAACAAAAAATGGATACAATTCATAAGACGACCACGAAACTGCCTGCAGAGCCCGCGCAGCAGTGGCAGACTGCGGTTAGCGATAACTGCAGTTGACTTCTGTAACCGTGATTAAGCTTAATTATGGTTATGGCTGCCCACGACAGGGGTATAACACAGCAGACCTAGCTCCTGTTAGCCCGCTAACCATTGTTAAAACAGTCTTGTTGGCAGGCTCAGTTTGTGCTTGCTAACCACGTCAGCATAGTGGCATCTGGCACTTCGCCACCATCTGCGAGCATCGAAGATGCACTTAATTTTTCCGAATGCAGGGGGTGCCATGTAGAAAGAAGTGTAGTTCAAAATATTGTTCAAGGAGCCATACTTAAGGGTGGGAGCTGCTTTTATGATGATTGAGACACACCCTGCAATGGGGGAATTCTATTAAAGCTGCCGATGGAAGCACGAATAGAATTCTCTCAGAGCCAGCACAGAAGCCGCACTGTAGCCGAAATGCCAATAACAATGCGACCCCTGCACTTTTTTTTGTCATTTGTTTAAAGCATTTTAATGCTTTCATAATTAAAAAGAAATAAATGCCTATTATCACTAGTATATTAAATGCTTATAACAGTAAAATGTACTTTGATAATTAATATGCTGCAATATCTAGATAGATCATATAACACCACACTAGGTTTAAATAAATATGCACCCACCAAATCATTAAATAAGGAAACTCTACATTTCGAGACCTACTCGTTCTCTTCTTCAGGAGTTGACTGCAGCCAAGGCCGCCGAGGAGCAGTATTTGTTTTCTTCTTCTTCTACGGTGGTGCCTCACTTTTTGCAATGGTAAGACACCACCGACAGACATAGTTGCAGTCAACCCCTCATGAAGGGACAGTGTAGCTCTTGAAACGTATGGTTCCTTAATTGAGGATTCGGTTGGTGCATATCTCTTTATTTATAATAGCTCCTTGACCAGAAAGACTCCCCTCAAATGTTTCCTTTCAAGTTTTCACACTGGGTTTCACTTTGGCTTTAACTGAGATCAAGGGTAAGAGCATCTCAGTTCGCAAACTGCAGTTAGCCAACGTTAAGGCAGCCAGGGTAATTATGGTAGTAGTCATCATTTTCATTCTGGGACAAGAGATAACTACAATTAGAGATATATGCTTTGCTAAACTGTCATGCAAACAAATCAATGAAAAGTTAATTTAAGCCAGAGGTGACTACTATAACCATAAAATAACAATTATTTTACAGAGCGGAACCTTGTTTAAGCTAGATTACATAAAAATTAACTACAACTAACCCTCTGGCACATGATGACTTGTGGATGCGGAATGGAAGCTCTTCGTACTCCTATTGGCTCTGCTGTCTGCAACCCAAATATAAAGGATGATTTAAAAACACAAAGATGGTATGAAATAAAGTAGGCTTGTACCTTTTGCAAGCACCTTGGCACAGAGTGCTTCTTGCAGCTTATAATTTAGGTGCCGTAGGTCTTCATTTTCCAGTTTCAGCTTTTTCATTGAAGGGCTGTCCTCGTCACCAGAGCTGCTGAGTGTCCCCAGCAGCTCCAGCTCTGCCATCTGCTTAGCGTCTTGCCGCTTCCGCTTCTTGCTTTTGGGGGCCTGTTAAAAGGTGCATACTTGTTAAAACAAATATGTCAATAGCCCATTGAGCACATCCTTAAACTAGAGGGGACCGGTGGTAGCAAAATAGCATTAAACATCACACAGTCATGAAGTGAATTTCAGGTGCAACGACTTCAAAACAGCACATCATACAGAGCACGACTTCTAACATGATTGAAATTTTGGGGGTTTACATTCCTAAAAAAATTACGGTGTGGGTCAGCATTCTCTCCCGAAATCTTTCAGAGGTAAACATTGAACAACCACCAGGGTGGAGGCCACAGAAAACAGAGTTGTAGGCAAAGGACGATATTTCAGCACCTTTCCGAGCGTCATAGCTTTCATAGCTTGAAAAATAATTTTGACCATCTGGTGCTGTTTACTCGAAGTATGGCTAACTCTAACCACAGTTAAAAGTAAACCATAGTACCTAGGAGGGGGTTTTAAAACCATGTGACTAACCAGTGAGGACAAGGGTAGGAAAAATACCTGCAGAAGTTCTATTTGACAAACGGGCTGCAGTTCTGGGGCCCGAAGCGATAGATAATTCAATGTGCACTCTTTATTTACAATGGCAAGTCATGATGTCACAGTCAAAGCAGAGAAAATGACCCGAAGAAATGACTACTGAAGCTGAAGCCAGCTCGCCAGCTGGCCTCCGTAATCGCTGCCTAGGTTAACGGCTCCCCATCACTATGTTCAGCTCTTGGGCCGTCGGTGTAAGAATGAAAACATATTATGAAGCTTTTGTCATGCTTTAATGGGCGTTTAAGTGCGCTCCTCCACTCCTGCTCTGACGCTACAAGTTTCATACTTTGAGCACGGCAACTAAACAGAACATTGCATACATACCGAAACTATTGACAAGCTACAGTCACTTCCGGATGTAGAGTTAAGATACAGCCGTAGAATGTTATGGAAATGGGTGGAGAGGATTGCAATTGCTTGAGAAAAAATGCAAAAGCAGCTCATAAATGAGTGCAACCACAGAGTTTAAAGTGAATTAAGTCAGCAGTGCTATAAACTTCGTTATTGAATGTTTTGCGAGAAGAAGGCTGGTATATCATAGCTGATTAGTACACTACCGTTCAATGAATCGCACACGGTGCTTCTGACCATTTAGTGAACGGAGCGCCAAACTCTCGTGCTCCGGAGCATGTACTTAACGCTCCCAATAATTCACAGCAAGGGCACAGAGATAATGTGCTGAGCTTTAGAAATGCGAGTCGCATCTCATAAACATTACCCTCGTCAAAGACTCCATGCTCTTTTTGCATTCGTGATGTAGCGAACAGTTAAAGGGGCACTAAAGAGGTTTCTGAAGACACTTGTTTTTGCTTTTATACAATGTTGTGGGTACCAATTGCTATGCATTCCAACTTTCAAATGACAAAACCACTTATTAAGCCTCTGACAATAGAAATACACGGATTATGTTTTCCCTCGCCTTCCTCGGAGGGAGTGATGTGTCCGCTCGTCTGCTTCATGAAGCAATTCGCTTAAAAAATAATTGTGTTAGTTTTTGTTTCAACACAGTAGCAATAGACCCTTTCCGGAATTCAGTCTGGCCACTTTGATCACTATCATCATCTGAAAAATAGCATATGTGCTATACTAATGGCAGTGTTCTGTTTACTGACGAAGGAAGAAGTTGAAAATGCTCCCAATCAGATAATTCGAGGCCTATACATTCTAGACGTTAGCGCGACGCAAAGTAGGAATTGGATGCAAGAGCTGTGTAAGTGTTCATTTCTAACTCAGGCACAGTGAATCTGTTAGTAGCACACACTCGGCTCCAAAGCTCCTTGATGTATAGAACTTCATCAAGGCGTCTATGTGGGTTGGCGCTTCGTTCTGACTGGTAGCATCGTTTTCGCCATCAACATTGAAAGAGATTGAAAAATAATTGTACGGCGAAGCGCAGATTCTCGTTTACCGTTGACTTGCGAAAGCGACGGTGCCCCATAAAATGCTGCAGACCACAGGTTCCATTGCCGCCATTAGTACGGTAAAAGTTAAACTGTCATTTGAGTAACCAGATGGCACTGAATTCCGGAAAGGGTCTATTGCTAAAAAAAATATTGAGAGAATAAGCAGTTTTTACTTCCTCAACTCGCACCCCAATCAAACGGCCAGGTGATCCACAGCCATGCTTTCACCCACCAGTGTTCATCATAGCCACGTGCTATGTTCGCCAATGCAGACTACACATGCTCTGCTCTAAGAATCGTTAGAGCTCGGTAATTTTCGCAAAAGCAGTGATCAGACACAAACCTTCGATGCACTGTCATCTGAGGGGCGAACTAACATGACCAGTTCCCCGTTGCTTGTACTGGACCAGACTGAACCAACAAAATGGCTGCATTACTTCGTCACGACGAAAAAGACCATTTTGTGTGCTCTTAAAAGCGCGTCCCAACTTCAAGCATCAAAAACAGGGAAAAAAGGACGCGAGTAGAACAAATCAATGTGATTTTGTTTTGTCTCAATCACAGCACTTCGCAAGTCAGTTTGGGCTGCTTGTAGCTTTGCTATTTCAGATTTCATGAAACAGTGCCAAATTTTCTCAATTTCAGAGGTGCCTTTGTTTCAAGAAGTTTCTACGGCATGGCAGACATACTGCTAAGGACTTATATGTATAAGTAGGTAGGCATATTTATGCAAGACGCATTACCAGCCTTCTGCATTCTGCAGTAGAACCTGTTGTCGAAGTAAGCACCCTCCTAAATGCAGGGGTACACCACACAACTCCTTCTATAACTTAGCAGAGGATGGCCTTACCGCTTCTTGTTTAGATGTCTTTCGCTGTTTCGTCGGAGCTGCACCTCGCCTCTTTTCAAGGTACTCATCCATTTCCTCTTTTGAATCTTAAAAGTTGGAAAGCACATGGAAATAAGAGAAAAACCATTTGTGTAGAAAAGTGGTGACTAAGTATAGAGGTTTTTTGCGCGACACAGGGGACAATTACAAGCGAGTAGACACGGACAAGCTTTTGATAACAACTAGTAGCTTTTGATAACAACTTTTGCTAAAATAGTACCTCGAAATTGAAGCTTTTACGACTTGGTCAGTCAGATTTTCTCTAGCATACTGGAAAAGCGAGTTCTGGGAAAGCTCAGAACGGCAGCCGAAATTTAGCTAACAACTTGGCTCGCCAGAAAAGCTAGAGGCATGCTCAAACAATGCATATTTTGAAATGCAATACTGTTTTGCAGTGTACCAGCTGTATGATACGAGCTTCATGTGTCCCAACAAATGGTCAGGTCCCATTGGGGATCTTTTTGGAAATAATTTTTTTAATGATCCCACCACCTTATGTTGCCGTTTCAATTTGCAGAGTAGTATACTGCAGTTATGTGAACACTACAAAGCAGCAATAACAATTCCTGTTGGCATGTTTTTTTTGACAAGAAGTACTATTTTTATTGGTTAAACAGAACCTGCCTACTTGTCAAAAACTCATTTGCAGATTGCCCCAATGCATCAACAGTATTCCCGATCATCCTGCCTAAAATTTTTGTTGCCATATTCTGACAGCAAGCTTCCATGGTGGTGTAATAATAATAATTATAATAATAGTAATAACAATAATTATTATTATTATTATTCATTCGGACTCAGGAGAGCTGCGGTGCCTCATAGAGGCTAGTAGCAACTAGAGCCACTTTATGCTCTATACAGTCGCTCAAGTAGCAACCACAAAATCACCACTGGCTAAACAGCCAGTGGTGATTCTGAATGGTAGCGGAGCATCAATGATCCCCCACAATTCCTTGACTAAAAATCGCTGTTTAAATACTGTCTTGAGATTACAGTTTAGTAGATAAAAAGCTAGCTAAAACAAAAAAAAGGGCATGGAAGGATTCACGGAGTCCATCAACGAAGTATACTATCGGGTAGACCAGACATCAGGCCGAGACTTAAACAAATTGCAATAAATTGCAAAAAAAAAAAAAAAGGAATTTGTAAGCTACGACACTCTAATTTACCACACAAGTTCAGCTAGATGGTGGATTTAATTTGCGAAAATGTAAAAAAAAAACAAAAAAACAATAAAATATATATAGGCCAACATAAGCTTAAAGGGGCCCTGCAATCATATTTAAGTGTCTACCTTTTTTGCGGTTTCCACGTCTCTTGGGGTTCAGGCAAGCAAGCAGGCACGGAGAGAGTAACTAAGTATCAGTGCATCATATTTTAACCGGATGACGCGGAAACCTCCTCCACCGACGGGGGCAACCCGCAATACCAAAAGCGCGCGATATGCGACGTCTTAGGTCCTGGGCTTACTACTGGTCAGAGCCGCTAACAGCTTCTTTTTGGTCGAAATACAAAATATGTTCAATTATTCATGAAAGTAGTTTTTGTTCAGTATTTTAGATCAGAAAAGAAACAAATACACTTTAGAAAGTACGGAAACAAGAAATGACCCGTCGAAATACCCGCCACCAACCGGTGGAAAAGGCATACTAGAAAGTAGTAGTGGGATGAGGCGCCAACACGGAAAGGTCCCGGATGTACGCGGCGGCGCTGCGGTCGTATGCAGAGGAGGATCCGACCGGCTCCAAACCTTCCGAAGGCCTTCGGCGAGAAGCTTTGTCTTGCGGTTTGGCCGTTTCGCGGTATGGCAGCACAAAGGGGCTCCCATTCTGAACTGATCTTTACCCCGTGTTTGCTTTCGTTTATGGCCAATGAAGTGTCATGTCGAATTAGAGTTTAATCGCGCAGCAAATGCAATGAGAGCCGCTCTGGCGGTTCGCTGCATACAGCCTATCCAGAACATGCTTTAGTGGCGCCTTCTCGCGCCGTCGACACGAAGTGCGGAAGCTGTGAGCGCTCGTTGAGCCCACTACCCCTCCTCTAG